CTCACATAGTCTTAGATTTACTTTGTCCATGTTGGAAGTAGAGAATAAGGGAAAAAAGCAACACTCAGAATGGAAAGGAAATAGGTAATGGGAGGAGGCGGCACAATCTCAGTTGGATCTGATTTCCTTCACAAGGGAATCCTCCACAAGGTTTGTTGGCAGGGGACTTGGTCAAGTGGCCAGTTAGTGTCCTGTTGGTCAATATGTGGTTAAATCATCAGCCAAGGAGTTTAGGAATGGGAGGAGCAAGAGGGTAAGTAAAAACTGTTTTTGAGAGAGAGAAAGAGAGAAAGCAATAACTATGAAAACCAGAAAAACCTAATTTTTTGTCAGTTCCAAGTTGTGATGTAAAGCCAAAGAGGACAGAAAGTTAAGTTTTCTGCCTTTTAGGATCCATGTGGGTAGATGAAAGAATAGATCAAGCACCAAAGGCAATAGCAGAACATGAATATTTCAGACAGCTGTGGTAAACAGGGCCCTATGGTTCAAAGATGCTTGTGTATCACATAGTTTGGGAATGAAAGGATGGGACTGGCCTTATTGAAAAGCACCAGATCAGAGCAGACAAGTTGTAGAATACCTACAACTTTCAATTTCTGCTTCAAGAGGTTGAAAAATAGTCTTCCCAGTTTCCCTGGAGTAAATGGGTATGTCTGGCTACAAAAGGAAGACAAGAATTCATGTTTTATTTACATTAGTAGTAAAACAGCATCAGAACTGTAACTCAATCCAATAACAGTCTTGAAGTATGACAGATGTTTCCAGAAGTCATTTTGAGTAAATAATTCCTTCCTTTATTATTCTCTTATACTGCCTGGGTATCTACTTACAATTTAAAATTAAATCCCTCTTGCCCTTAATATCACCATACCCAAGGGGTCCAAAATGAGAAGAACATAGGAAAATAATGTCAGCAAGGACTCTGGGCCACCTGGCTAAAATAAAGGTTATGCATGAAATGCTTCCTCAGCTTTAGGAAGTAGCAATACTACTTTCAGGCAGAACTGCTTACACATTTTGTAGAGTCCACTACAAAATGAAAATGCAGGACTCTTTGTTTAAAAATTATGAAGACTTCATGACAGCAACAACAGAGCATTAAGCCAAGCACGAGGCCCTTCTGCACAGGTTGCCTACCCATGAAGGTGGCCCTGCTCTCAGAGACAGCGCAGACAGCACACATGGTCCTAAAGAAGAGCTTTAGAGTCAGAGCTGGATCTAACCCTCATTTCTGCCTCTCATTAGCTATGTGACCCTGGGCCTAGGAAATTTATTTCACATCTTTGTATTTCCAAGAAGTTATACAGTTAGACTCTAGTACAGTGAGGATTCAGTGGAATAACGAATAGGATATACACAAAGTGACTAGCATAATGCCTAGTACATAGTAAGCATTAAATAAATGGTAACTATACTATATAGGTAGTTCTTAAAGTGGTAAGTTTAAGAAATGAACTGCTGAATTGCTATTAAGGATAAAAATGAGTAGTATTTTAGAACAAATAATGGAGCATGTAAGGAAGACAATCTTTTGACTGCTGGTTTTTCAAACCATTTTCCTATTTCTTTTCTTTCTTTCATTGTCAAACATACAAAGGTGATCTGCTTGTTGTTTCCATTTCTTAGCTATATCACATGCTACAGTCTTCTTTTATCTGGCTTTTAATATCTTCATGTGCCCTCCTCCATTGAAGCAATCACTTCCTAAATATAATGGACATTTCCCAAATTTTCTGTAGAATCTCAAACTGCTGACCAATTTCTCTAGCTTGAACCTGTTGCCTCTCTTGATGTTTGTGACCCTGGACTCTTGTGGTTAACAGCATGTTTAACTGGCCAGGCATCCATCAGGGACACCATAAATGGTGATGAATAGGATGCATATGTTAGATAAATAAATCAGTTCTTTTATTTCTCTGATATTTCTTGTTTTCTACCATGGTAATTCCTTTTCTGTTTCCTATCTCCTCAAATGTAGCTAAACTCTAAGCTCTGGTCTTTGGTTCTCTTCTACTTCTATTTCTATGATGCTACCATTAGTACACTCAGCTAACCATAAGGATTCAGTGATTAACTTCTCTGTATAAGACTCTTTGACTCTGCTTTTTAAAAAACTAGCCCCCCAGTTCCAAACACTTCTGGGGCATTTACACTGAGAAGTTCCAGTATCTCTTCAAGATGGCATTTAGCCTCTCTTCCTTTAAACTGGCTTTCCTATCTTTTTTTTTTTTTTTTTTTTTTGAGACAGGGTCTCACTATGTAGTTCAGACTGCTCTGGAACTCACTATGTAGTCCAGGCTGGTCTCGAACTCACAGCAATCTTCCAGCCTCAGCCTCCTGAGTGCTGGGATTACAGGCATGTGACACCACACCTGGCTTGTCTATCCTATTTTTTGACAGGATTTTCATTTCTTATTTTTTGCTAACCTTTTACAAGTGAAGACCATAGTTGATGCTATTTATTTCTTGTCTTCCATATCTAATCAATCACAAAGTCTTTTTTATTTTTCCTTTATAATACTCTTTGGACTCATCTCTATTTTTCACTGTGTCACTCTTTTAATTCCTTATTCTCTCACACCAAGACCATTTAAATAACCTACTCATTGGTTGTAGAGTTCCCTTTTTCTCCCTACTAAAGTCTGTTCTCCACGTTCCTGTTGAGAATCTTCACAACCCCACACTTTCTTAACCAAAACTCTTCACTTCTATCATTTACAGGATATAACCCCAACTTGTTGTTTGGCATTCAATGCCTGCTATAATCTGATTTCAGGCAGCTCTTCCAAGTTTACAACTTCTCTATTTAAACCTTCTGATCTTGCTGGACTCGTCAACCTCATTAACTGGCACATGAAACTTTCTTCTATATTCTGGCCTTCTGTTTCATGAACATGGTTTTTCCTGTGTAAAATTCCTGCCATCTTGCTTACAAGAGAATTTACCACGGCTCTGAAAAATCTTCCCTTAGCAGTCATGGTCCATGATAATCACTTTTTTTTCTCAACTCTTATAATACCACCTATTTAACACCTCAAAAATGTGCTGAATTAGTACTCTATGTGATTTCATTTAGTTCTTACAACTATACAAGGTAGGTAACATTATTACAGATGAAGAAATTGAGGTCAAATAACTTGTCCCAAATCATGTAGCAAGTGACTGGTAGAACTGGAATCCAAATTCTTGTTAAGCTGAGAGTAACCCCCATATAATACCACCTCTTTCATTTTCCTGTCTCCTTTAAAGCACAAATCCAGCAACAGTATTTGCACACAAGCAGATGTTCAGTAACTATGTTGATTGAGAAGATTGCTTAACTACCACCCATGATTTTCTAGTACTCACAGACTTGTCAATCTTAGCTAAGCATGTTAGGCACCTGTGTCACCTTTTTACACGGCTTAATCTGTAATATAGTTAGAAAGAGATTGGCCAAAAACCATAGTTCATTCTAAAAATAAACTTCAGTATAAGAAAAGCTAAAATTCCTTTATCTGGTTTAAACATTAGGTGATTTCAGGGGATGAAGTTTACTACTTCTGGGCCTTTGTTCTGCTTCTATTAATCAGGAAATAAAAATAGGCTGGCTAGTTGAGGGCTTCTGAGGTAAAATGGACTGTTTATTGTTCTGGGGATAGATACTAAGGCAACAGAACAGGTTTTTCTCTCCTTTGGCAAGACATCAGTAAAAGGAAACATACAAAGTTAATCATAGGTGGAAACAGGTCAAGAGGAGAGGATATTAATAAAGAAGGGAAGAACAAAGAGGAGGTGTCACTGGAAACTATCTAGGAGATGGCATGGTCTTTCTCTGCAGTTGCTTGAAGTTGTTCTAACAGCTGTCATCATGTAACATGGGTTCTATCAGAGTGGAATGATTCATGGTCTGTGTTGAACAGTGTGCTCTGACCCACAGCACAGTCCAATCCTCTTTTAATTCAGATTCCTCTAGCATTTTATTACTCATTTCTCTAGGTCTCACAGATATGACATCTAGCATTGTTCCCCTATGACCAGCATGTTTTTTTTTGTTTGTTTGTTTTGTTTTTGGTATGGTTTAGATCTGCCCACCTAGGATGCTGCCTCCAGTGCAGAACATTATCTCAGTTTTTAGGTCCTGCACCTTAGAGCTACTGTAAACAGCCCTTTTTAAAAATCTCCACTTGGACTCTTGCTTGGAAAGACATGAATGAGGTTCAGAGAAACTGATGGGAAAATAGGGGAGAGGAAAAAAAATAAGAAAAATACCCTTGGAAAATTGTGATGAATGAGAACTTCTAGATACATTTTGGAAAGTTACTTTATAGAGAAAGGGAAAATGCCACAGTTTGCAATAGTAATCCCATTCCCAGAGACATAATTCTCTTTAAATAGCTGCATTCATTGTTTTCACGGCTTTGGTTTTCCTTCCGGTCCTTTCCTTCATCTTTGCAAGGCAAGCTCCTATTTTCATCCCTCAACACTTTCCTTAAATGTGTTTTCCCCTTATCTTCTACAGCTGATTGTTGCCTCTTCTGTTTCCACTACTTTGCATCTCCAAGACATAGCCGTGTCTGGCATATACCAAGTATTTATTGTTGTGTGATAAAAGACATCAAGATCAACACTAAAGTGCAATTTGCACTTCATTTGCAAAAACCAATTTGCTTCCTGGTACTTTTCTTGTGTAATCACATTTTTGCTTGATTTTGAGGAAACGACTTTAGACTCATAAAGAAGCTCTACTGGTAGTTGAGTTTCAGCTCACAGGTGATAGAAATATTTCTCCCTCCACACTGAAACTCTCAGGGCAAGTTTAATAGTAACAGCAGATTCCCCATCCTACCATTTCTATCGTAGTGAAAACTAAATTACACTGTGAGCCTAAAGCTGCCACCAGTCTTAGTGAATTGGGGGAGAGGGAATAATTAAAAGACACTTGCAGAAGACTTCGGAGGGGGGAGGGGGAGGAAGATGAATTTAAACCTTGCCTTATAAGAAATTTGTTAGAGACTCACGTAAAACAGCTGCTTCCTCTGTACATGTCAGACCCAATCCAGGTGTCCAGCAGTGACCTTTTCCCATGGGTGTCGGGTCATCAGTCAGCACAGAAAAACGGGGCCATTGCCTTTCTCAAGCATCCCTCCTCGTGCCTTGGGGCCTGCTTTCCCTTAAGAGGACTGTCTTCTCCCAGCACCAACCCCGTTTCCTCCGCCGGTGCCACCACGCACTAGTCTTTCCTTCTTCCCGCAGCCCCCCACCCCCCGCCGCCCCCAGACTCTAGTCGGGGTCAAAAGTGCCTGCTGCCGGGCTGTCAGGCTGCGGCCGAGGAGGGGCGCCGCGCTCAGGCCCCACTGCCGGCGAGGTCTCCTAGTACTCTCCGGGACACGGAGGGGACGCAGG